CAAGGCAATATACCTTAATTCAATACAGGAGAGCATGTGAACTTTTCCTTTAAGTGCTATAATCTCTTTCAAATGCAACTTTACTTGAATTCCGCTAGTAGTCTGTTCAAACCGCCACTTTGCAAGCGTTGATAAATGGATGTTAGTTTCTAAGCTATTGCTGCTATCAATTGTTGATATTTGTTTAACATATTATTTATAACATTTTGTAAAAAAAAACACAAAAACTATATTTCATAATTATATAACTGAACTAAATTTAAGACCGTGCTTCCTCACTAAACCGCAGTTTTTCCTCTACCAAACCCCTCTTTCAAACACAAAATGATCATAATTCACTAACACCCCGTTCTTAATGACTCACTAACGCACAATTTATATACACTATATGTTTTTTTTTTCTTTTCTTACAATTCATTACATTTTCAATAATGTGTTTTACGATTTTTTCTAATTCTAGCTTTTGGTTTTGCAGTGTATTAATTTATAATAAAAGCCACACAGTCACAAGTAATGCAATAATAAGCAACAAACACCCATACAATTACACCAACACAATTAGGAGTAAAAAAATAATGCGACTTAATGAATTTACAACAGCAATAACATAATTGACACGCATATGTAGAACATAAGTAAACTGCATATGTAAGCCAAACACAATACACAAATACAAATTAAAGGACAAGCAAAAACGAAGCGAGGATCGAATAAGAATTTAAAACAAGTCCAACAAAATAGCTAACCAATACACACACAGAAACACGGTAAAGTATGTGTTTATGCAGTTAGAAACAATGTTTGAAGGAGCGCTTTGTTTATTTGGCATATAAAATATTTACGAATATAAAATTATATTAAAGGTTAAACTTGGTACACAAACAAAAAAAAAAAAAAAAAAAAAATAAAAAAAAATAAAGCGTTTGTAGTATTGCCACATATTTGATTTACGATTTATTTGCTTTAATTATTTATACATGCATACATTCATACATATTTTTTACATTTAAG